TGAAGTGTTCCCTTGATCGACCACATAATATATGTTTCGATGTCTCTGTTGAGTTAACGACTCTATATCTTTTTTGTTAACTAATTTTATATGTCTTAGTATTCTTTGAATGAATATTATTTACACGTCTTTAGCTAATATATCCCAAATTATTTCATTTTCCTATTGTTTTACCACTATGTCGTCGTTAGGATCGTAAACAGACAATATTACGATTATGCTTACTCAACTAGTTTATAACCATCATCTGAAATAACTCCATTCGCTATTCATACTATTCATGTCTGCTTCCGATTCTCAACGTAGTTTATCCCTTAGTCATTCGTTTTTCTGTTTCCCTTCAGGATTTCAAGTTAGTGTCTCCCTCCTGATGCGGTTTGATGATTTCTTCAATGTGTGTCCTATCCACTTCTAGCGTATTTTCCTGATTTCCTCATCAGTTGGAAGCTGGTTTGTTCTCTCCCATAGTAGGCTGTTGCTGATGGTATCCGGTCAATGGGCATTCAGTATCTTACGTATACAATCGTTTATGAATACTTGTATCTATTTGATGATGGTTGTGGTAGTTTCAGCTCCGTACAATATAACTAACTGTCTTGACGTTTGTATTGAAGATTCTGACTATGATATTGGTTGACAATTGTTTTGAATTCCATATGTTGTTCAACTGTGGGAATGCAGTCCTTGCTTTGCTGATCTTCGCCTGCACGTCAGCACCAGACCCTCTTTATTCGTCGATGGTGCTACCCAGATACGTGAGTATTTCCAACTCTCGCTAAAGTTCTCCATCAATTATGATTGGGTTGGTGGACTGCGCGTTGTGTTTGAGAACCTTGACTTTTCCTTTGTTTATTTTGAGGCCTGGTGATGCACAGACTGCTGCTATACTGGCTGTCTTCATCTGCATTTGTTAGTATGTATGAGACAGGACGGTCAGGACGAGTGAGAAGTGCAAATCGCCAAGTTTGTTGCGAGCCGTCAGTTGTAATACGTGCTTCTCCTGAAGTGTGGAGGTCTTTACGATCCAGGCAACAGACAGAAGAGAAAGAAAGGAAGAGAGTAAAAAGTCGTGTCAGATTACAGTTCTAACTTGGAATGTGTCTGTCTGTTGTTTTGCATGCACCACTCTGCAATGTGGTTCGTCTCATGAAATTCAAATTATGTTGACGATCTTCTGAAGCAGATCACATTGTAGAAGAAGAGTGCATAAGGTTAAACTACCCACGCTTCCAAATGCTTTCTCATAGTCAAGGAATTTGATGTATGGTGATAAGTCTCATCCAGACGGCTGCTTATCAATGACCCGTAGTGTCGTAAATTGATCTGTACACGGCCGGTCCTTATGGATGCTGGTCTGTTGATTTCGGATCCGAGCGACTTCTGAATAATTCACCCGGCTCAACAAAACTGTTAGAAACTTTTCTTGGTACATATGGTAGTGCAGTGTCTCTATGCATTTCACACCTGCTCAGATTTCTTTTTCTCAGTATTTTGATAAAATATCCTCCTTTCCAGGTTGTCGGCACTTGATCTTCCTCCCGTATCTTCCTCAAAAGAACTTGTAACATGTTTGCTGTTACTTTTATGTCCGACTTTCGTGCTTCAGCCGGCATATTGTCAGATTCTGCTGCTTTCTCATTCTAGACTTGTCTGATAGTCGTGGTAATATTTGTGATCGTTGGTGGGGTGACACATATAAGAAGGTCTGTGTGGGCTGCTTCGATATCCAGTGGATTCAAAGGATCTGGTCTATTGAAGAGTTCCTCGAAATGTTCCAAACTTCTGTTCTTGAATCTCAGTGATTGGCATGCCTTCTTTGTCCTTGACTGGTCACTCTGGTTTACAATATTTCCTTGCTAGTTCTTTTGTTGTGTCATATGGTTGTCTCATATCTCCTTCCCTTTAAGCCTTTTCCGCTGTTATTGATAGGTCTTCCACGTGTTTCTGCTTTCCAGCCCTAATACTTCTCTTCACTTGCTTGTTTGCTTCTGTGTGTTCAGCTTGTGCCTTGAATTTCTCAGTACTTGTTCGGCTGATGTTGATTGTTGTCTTATCATTCTTTTCTTGAATGCTGCTCAGGGTTTCGATGGAGATCCATTCCTTAAGATGATGCTTCCTGTGGCCCTGAACCTCCTAGCACATCGAGATTATTGTTTCTTTAATCCCTCTCTAGTTGTCCTCCATAGTAGTTTCTTTTTCGTTGTATAGATCTTGTAAAGCTTGGAATCTGTTGCTGAGAGCTATCATGAATTCGTTGAGTCTGTTAGTATCTCAAAGGAAGGCTTTATTAAACCTTTGTAGTGCTGTTTCTCCAGTTGTCCAGTTCTTCTTTAGTTTCAGTTTAATTTTGGCAACCAGCAGATAGTTATATGAAACTAAGCCGGCTTATCTTTATGTTCTCATGACTTTCACGGGTCTTCTGAATTTTTTCGTGATGCAATATGATCGACCTCGTACTATTTAGTGTGATCTGCAGAGACACATGTAGCTTTGTGTATGCGTTTGTGGGAGAATATAGTGCATCCTATAGCTACTTTGTTGAATGCACATAAATGTGCAAATCTGTCGCTATTCTTGTTCTTTTCCTTCAGTCCATGTTGTCCCATGATATCTTCATACTCGATGTTGTTCATTCCGGTCTTGGCGTTTAGTTCTCCCATCAGGATGGTCAAGTCCTTTTCTTGGAACTTATCTACGACCGATCGCAGCCTCTCATAGTACTAATCTTTATTGTCTCCACTATTATCACTGGTGTGGGCGTGGGACTGAATATCGTTCACTGTAGTCCCTTCGTTTCGGAGGATGTTTTAATGATCCCGGATCCATGAGACTCTCATTTTGTAAGCGCTTTTTTGCTTCTGTGAACAGTTTCACCGGATCTCCTTGTTTGTATGAAGAGGGGACATTTTCCTCCTCATGATGAGAGTACAAAAACACCGGCCTTATGATTTCCGAAGAACCTCAGCTTTCACTATGAGATTTCACAACTCTTACTAAATGGTTTTCCATTTCCAGTACAGTTTAAATGATCTTTTCTGGTCGTCATTGTTTAGCTAGGTTCTTTTCTACTCCATGTGGTTTCTAACCTTATGTCCAACCATCCTTTTTTACCCGGGATCGAGACCGGTTGTCATCATCAGAAGGCTCCATGCGGAGTTTGAAATTTGTTTAAATATTAGGACAAAATGAAAAAGACTAAACGAATATTCTTTGGAGTCATGTCTGACAGATTGAGCTGTCCTGTTCAATAACATTTAGGTTCATAATGCTTACATACTGAAAATCTGCGATCCTTTAAACGACCGTGAATTTAATATTTGTATCTCATTATTCGAATGGTTATCGTCTAAAGCAGTAGTCGCTGAACTGGATTTGTATTGAGAATAATAATACTGACCGGTGTTCAACTACATCTTTCTGATAAGCTTCAAGTCATAGAAAGGTCCATCATAGAAGCCTTCGTTAGTCAACAAATAACTAACACTAAGTGACATGTCGTTTGCATTTGATAGATTACTTTCTTAGTGAGATGTATTTTTGTCAAATGATTTCTCACCATCATATTTGATTACGGCTTAAGAATTACTCCTAATCGGAGTCAAACCCTGGTTATCACTTGGATCCTTTGCATTAGGTATTTAGTTCTCCTGTTAGGATTTTCAAATCCTTTTCTTGTAATTTATCTACGACCGATCGCAGCCTCTCATTGTACTGATCTTTATTTTCTCCACTATTATCACTGGTGTGTGCGTGGGACTGAATATCATCTACTGCAATCCCTTCTTCTTTATGCAAAAAGTTGAGTGATCTTCGCCGGATAAAAATTGTATAGGAATATTTACACGATTCCATGAACGACCACTATCTACAATCAAGCTTGCGTGTGAATGCCCATGAAATGAAGTTTTAGGCGTTAGTTGCTAAATTGCAAGAACTTTGAGAGTGTAGATTCTATGAAAACGACATGAAATTTTTGACAAGAGAAATATATCACTTTATTGAACAGGTATCATTGCACACAAACACAGATATTCCAGGTTATTTTAATATTGATTCATCTGATATTTGATCAGATATCTTTAGAAAAAGAATTGAACGCTATATTCGTCATAAGAATTGAGCTTTACTCTTACCACGTTTCTAAATTTTTACCAGGATGTACGGTCAGTATTACAAGGCGGATGTGAATATATTCGGTAATTTTGGACAAACCAATTGTCTATTATGAAGTGTCACTAGTATTCTCTGTGGCCGTGCGATTAGTGGAAATCCTAAGTTGACAACCACTGGAAGGCTGCGAAGGCAATCATTCATTAAATATTCGCGTATGTTTCTTGAATGAAAAAACGAAGAAACAAAAGAACATGGTCGTTTATACAAAATATAGAGAGCCTGACCTGCTCAAAGGAAGTTATGCGTCAGTGGAAACCTCCTGAAACAAACTTGACCATAATTCTTGCCTGACGCTATTAGAATGATGAAGTGAAAAAGTGCAAAACTATAGCAAGAACTTCATCATTGCTTTCAACATAAAGTCCATACCGAACTGATATACCTTTATTGGTTCATATCTAAAAAAAGTGAGAATACAAGGGGCTTAACTTATAAAATTTATTTTACATGAGGACTTCAGGAACTCAAAAATGGCAGGGATATACACTGACTATTCTTCCAAACACCCAAACCATCAATCAGATTCCTGAGCATTTATCTAGCGTCTGACACTAAAATCAAAATGATATGTCAGTAAAACCACACATAGTCGAACAATGTCAAATCTCCTGTCGTTTTGTCACTCGTGGCCAATGAACTGTCCAATTCATCATGTCTACAGCAGATGAGCGGATGGATTTCTTAAGTCTGATGATATTGAAGGTCAAGAACAAAGTATTAACACAAATAAACGAGAAAGAAGAAATCATTCAATTTACACTGTTTTATCACAAATAAATATATTGTTTTTTAATGTGTCTCGTTTTAACATGCTCCAGCTAATTTTCGATTTCCAAGGTCGCTCGCCTGATGATTAGGTTTGCCCCTTTATGGTGGCGATCCAAGGTGATTTGTACATTTTTGATAAAACTCGATAATATTACCACATTTGACTTGTACTTTTACATTGGATGTATTGCAGTCAAAATACACTCCAACCCTCTAGTAACACTTCGATTTGCAGATACTATTTCTACTGAATATAATTCGCAATCCCGAGATACACCATTGACCTCACTAGTGTCTGTTGGATAAAACTTCAGTGTTTACACATACACTCAATATATAAATGCATTGTTATTCGCCGAAACTTTAGTTTCTGGTTGCCAGTCGAAGGCTTCTATTCATTTACGTATCTTTTGGGGATTTTTCCGGGCAGTCAATGTGATTCATTTTAGAAAACTTAGGCGTGACATCACAAGAATCCTCGTAGCTGTTCACTCGAGTCATTCATTTTTTGAAAGATATAAGTCGTCTGATTGATCTATCTCCTCAAGCTTCGTTAGCTAACTTTTTAAATTGTATTAGGTCATATTCTTTGTATGAGACGAACTCTGACCGTTTACGAGCCTCCGGATTCACTGGGGAACTCATGTAAAATCAAACGAGGAGTAAGTAGTGTCTATTTCTATCGGGTACAGAGAGCTCATTAGTCTATGTGGATTATATAAAATGTACAGAGATGTTTACCCAATCCCAGGTTAACAGTGATATGCACACGAATGTCAACAATTGATTTTTGATTACAATAACTTTCCCCAAATCGTATTGGAAACTTATATTAACTAAAAGTTTACGTTAAGTGATCGAATTTTGCGAACGCATACCTAACGCTCACCATGTCTCTTCGTTTAGGATTCCTACAACTCCGACAAGCCCCCTTGCAATGTAAGTGCTTGTTTCGTCATTAGTAATCGGTTTCAAAGCTATTGTTTGTTCTAGGTTACAATTGAATACAATTTCTGGCTAAAAGTTCATCGGGTATGTAAAAGAACTTTAACTCGTCAACTTATTTCTTGGATGCACGCTAGTTCCGTTTTCATAATATCTGAGACTTAAATCTGACTAGGTCTTAGGAGCTGTTAGCAGGATTTGTCTACAGCATGTTCCGTTAATATCATTATTTTAGGGAATCCTAATTGGCCCATTCTCAGCCAATCAGCACTAACAGATAACTGGAGAAGACTCCAGCATCTTGTATAAAATTCTAAATACACTAACATTTTTATTACTGTATCACTCTCAACTTGGTGTATTTGGATTTCATTGGCGTATATGTCCAAGTCGTGTCATGATCTTCAGGACCAGTCAAGTGAGATAATCAAATTCTGTTGCGCAATAAGGGTATCTGGGTCATAATAAAAGTTCTAACAGGAACCCAAGTAGGCAATTGAAAATATAACTTACTGTGCATCGACGCGAATGTTTTTTACTACCAATGAAGTTATTGATTCTATGAATTTGGTGCTCATCGTGTTGTGCTAATAAAATATGGCAACTTGGACCGATTCATATATATGCCTGTTCATACGTCGTAGCTGACGGATTGAGTTTTTCCCCTGAGTTCATAGTCATAAAAGATTTCGATACAGTACAGTCAAGAGTTACAAAGTAATATTTACCCAGCATTCCCTGTTTCATTTTCATCTGTCTTATTTCTCTTATTTATATATTGGGTAATTTTTAGCCTAAGTATTCGAACCAGAAATGCGAAGAATGGCTTGATAAGAAATGAATTAAAATAAGCATCTAATTAAAAGCACTAAGGAAATCTTCGTTTGCATTGAATGAAATGCTTAATTTTCCATGAAAGCTAACTTCCTCTATTCCAATCTATAAGATCACAAGTCAGCATTTCATTTCTTTTATTACAGTTTAGTAGTAGGTCAGCTTGGTTAACACTGATACTACAGGTTCTGTTCGTGGTTGTAAGTACTGAGCTTGTAAATGAGTTCCATTCTTTCTTGTTTAAAGATAACGAAACATTGATTAAACCAAAAGAAATTTTGTTTCATTTATGCACATTATTTCTTTATTCATAGAACTTCACATCCTTACTCTCATGGAGGTCGAACAAGCTAATAAATTCGTCGTACAAACTTCGGTTGCCTTCTTATCTTCGTACTCAGGAGAATTCCGGTAAAGCATCGCGTCCTGGAGAAAGCAAGAATGATCAAACATCTAATATTCGTATTACTGTTTTAAGTATTTATGAAGATAATATTTATTTTAGCAAAGTTTGAATTGCGGTTTTCATTTTCTCGAAATAAAATGCCTGACCCTCCTGGTGGATGGTCTTTTGCTTCTTGGGTTATACTTGGTGCTGTTGGTTTAACATGGGTTGTCTATCACAATTTTTCAATGTACAGAAAGGTCGATTGGAAGGAGTTTACAGATAACTTCCTACAAAAGTAAGGCTTCAACATATTTCTTTACTTTATTATGGTAGAAACTTGTTAGTTTAGTTGTCCAACCTTACAAACAAGTAGTGTCCTTATTTGATAGGATTCCTTAGCGTTCACATACACACGTGCTAATTTTCTCCACAGAATTGCAACTTCAATGATGGTTCCTATTTCGTCAAGTTCTAGTCTAGCATATTGATTGTGAAGTTCAATGGGTATTGCAACTCATTGATATTTGGTTAAATCGGTCGTACAAATCTTTGTGTATCTTTATATTTATGTAGCACAAAAGACATTTTATTAATTTTTAGCGTAATAATTTATTTTCTTGAGTATTCAGACCTTGTCATCTGTTCATTTATAATGAATATGACTTAAAGCATAGTATACGGGTGATCTATCCGTGCTTCTTGAGTTTCGAATTCTTCATAAATCTGAACTTTTCATCTTAATACTGTTCTATCTTAAATATATCATCAATGTCACCTAAAGGTTCAGCTACCTGTGATTAAAATACTACCGTAATTTTTCCCGAGATCATAACGTTTACATTAATACGACAGTTTTTAAACTATTTTCCAATCAGTTTGTGGCATTCATGCTTCTTATTACAAGGCTTATCTGTTCTCTCTGATTTAGTTTGAAAAAAGTTGAAAAATAATTCTGAATATTAAATTTTAGACTGTTAATTTAATCAATATGAAATCAGAATTTGCAACTCCATGTGGTATTCATTAACATTATTTTATTTTCTCATTCCTATTTAACTTGATATGTTTTTATATATAATACTCTCGTCTGATTTTAGCTAGTACTAGGAGATTCACTTTTTGACTTAACATTCACAGACCATATAGCTATGTTTAATGAAAACTGTCACCAAAGTAAGGCTTCTGATCGCCGTGAGTGATAACGTAAACAAATTTGGCAAATATTTCTCCTCAAATAGCGATATTTTGCCTCAGCGTTGTTCTGTGTCAACCCCTGTACTAATAATACGGGGTGAAGTTCTTAAGGGCATCTACTTCACTTATCCTAGTAGTTTGATCAGCCCTAGTGGGTTGGTGTCCAACGGAATTTTGTCACGGATTTAGAAAGCTCGTTTGGCTTTTGCCAACTTGTGGCATAAGTGGGTTGTCCATATTTCAATAAAAGACTACTCCGAGTGTCAGTTCTCTCTGTTTTACTTCATATGGGTGCAATTTAGTTTAGGAATGTAGGAGACATGCATAGGCTAAATGTTTTTGATCTAAATCTTTTTGAAGTACTTTACATATTGACGAACAGCTGACAGGAATGTTGAGGTTAGGCGTAAGACCATCTTCTGCCCACCCCGACGCACGACGTTTGCTGATATAAGAGTAAACTAAAAGAAGGCTAGACCAAGACATGACATCCATCCATGAAGACATTAGAAACTGTACTAAACCATGTTGGTAAATACAAACTATCTTGTTGGGGTCCATGTGAAAATAATGATCGGTCTTTGTAAACTTTGATGGACGTGACTCAGAATCGTTCACAATGAAATAGACTCACTGTATACTTTCTTAAAATCTTGTGCTTTCTTCTATACTTATTATATCCCACTACTACTATGACCGCAGATAAAGCTACTGTTAAATTCACTACTCCTAGGTTTGTTTTGGAATTTTTTCTATAATGGGAAAATGAGTCAATTTATGTTTCCGGTTCTACATTGCATAGAACTGACTGACGAGTGCAACCTGGTACAACTTTCCACTAAAATTAAAATGCACTGTACAAAATACTGAAATAACATTGGAAAGTAAATAGAAGGAAGTATATTCATAAAGTAAATAAGTATGTAGAATAATTAAGTTAAGAAGAATGATATACAATAGAAGATATAGTTCATTCAAAAATGGAGTTCCTTATAGTTAAAGGAGTTTCACTCATTTTTACGAAGAATAAACAAGTAAACTACATATTTACCATCTTTTTTATATTATTAGTTATATCGAATTATGCCTATTTCCTGCGTCGTTTCGTTTCCAGGACCCCAACCAACGACAAATGTCAATCTTACCCAGCTTTCTTTTATCACTAGCACCATATTAGTAATTAACCTCTATCCTTTTTCTAACCAGTTGTAGTGAATATAAATGAATCACAATTCGGAAGCCACTGGATGACTTTTGTAAAATATGTCCAAACCGATTAAATTATCATTACTACACCCGAATACACATTGTCGAACCTCTTCACTACTAACATATTGTTACCACTAATTGTCAGCAATCATTCAAAGACATCAAATCTTCAGATTATAAAAAAAATTTGCAATTCGTATAGCTTTTCATTTTGATGACTTGAATGTAGCACTCATAATTTGTAACCTATTCAGTCGATTTACTTTGATTTAATGATGCGTCTGGATTAAAAGTATAATGTAAAACTGCTTATGTTTGATAAACAGACTGAAAAATTTATTTGTATAATATGTATGTGCATCTCATTTTATATCAGTATATTTTCGTAGGGGTGCTGTACATCACTTAGAGGTTGTGAACAAATCTTGGGTTAGAGTCCATCTCCAACCAGGCGCAGATTTCGAGTCGTATGAATCCATTGATCCCAGCAAGAAAATTTATTGGTTTGAAATCGGTTCAGTTGACACTTTTGAACGAAGTCTACGTGATATGGAGGCTCATATGGGTATAGATCCTATGCATAGAACGTTTATAACGTATAGCAGTCGTCTAAAGCTGTAAGTATCATTGGTTTATTATATATATTCAAAATCATTTTCATATTTGGCATTTTTTATTCCATTATTTACTAACGCGAATCAAATCGATAAATATACACAAAGTTAAGTGGGATATGTATTCCATTCGCGTCGGTCTCATATGATCATAATAAAGTCAGTACATTGCAACAGTTTAAAACCTTCCTGTCATTTTACATTAACAGCGCATCCAACTAATAATCATTAACTAAGAAAAATTTCCTACACCTCTCAGTCATTCACTTTCTATGCCGAAGCTTGATGAGGTTTGAAGGCTTTGAGGTCCTCTACAGTCTGAAGTAAAACCATTCACTGTCGTTAGTACCTGCACACTACTTGGACAGTTTTACGGTAGAAAACTTATTTGTTATTGGTTTAAAAAATTTTGCTGTCAATATAATATTATATTAAGCATAAATTGCTAATCGTTCAGTTGGTTTTATTTTTCACTTGAATTAATCCTGTACTTTATATCAAATTGTGGAACAACTTTATTCGAATAAGTGGTAACAGTGTGAAATAAATGTATGTTCAATTTAACCAAAATTGTATCGTCCTGAGCAAAACTTAATTGCAGTTTGATTGTTTTTATCTCCTCTAATGAACTGTACATAATCTCTTTTAAAACAAATGGATGGATAAATTTTTTGTGTAACAATCAAAATGTGCGTTTCTGTGAAATGGAATATTTAGTATCCAAATAGTAGTTTTCTCATATTTTGTACATTACTTTCCATTTGTTGATATTGACACATATAGCTTAACTGAAATCTCGGTGAATATTTGATCAATTTTGTAGAAGTCGCTATGAAAGCCAAATCTTTTTTCTGTAAACCGAGCTTCTCATATTTTCACGACGACGGATTCTGATTTTCTTCATGTAGTAGTATGTAAATATATATCTCAGAAACCAATACTTAGTAGAACTTGGAGATTCTTCTCGGGCTTATTATTCACGAGTATTAGCAGGATTTCGAATCCTATTGTTTTACCTCTCGTGCGTCCATGCTTTTATCCTTTTTTCTTATTTGCAGATCAGATGTTTTATATGGCATTTTCTATCTTTCTTTGTTCTTAATGGCTGTGTATTCCTTACGGCCTGCATCTGGTGGTGTTGTACGGAAGGTAAGCAGTATTTTTGGTAGCACGAAAATCAGTTAGTAAATGTGTTAATGGATTTAAGTGTGAAAGTATATTGGTGTTATGTATATACAACCGATTCCTTCTTTTTCTAGTCAGGACTGGGTTCAGGATTATTCAACTTCGGACAGTCACCTGTGCGTTTAATAGAAAAAGATAAAATTGGTGTACGTTTTAGCGATGTAGCAGGTTGTGAAGAAGCAAAACTTGAAATAATTGAATTTGTTAACTTCCTAAAAAATCCAGCAAAATACGAAGCGCTAGGAGCAAAGATTCCTCGTGGTGCCATCCTAAAAGTTAGTTTTTTATGGTTTGATTTACAATCTTATAATGTGCCATAATTACTGACCGTTTGTTAGTTTATATTCCAAGGATTTTCTATTGCACATTCTCGCTATTTGTCACTTGTTATCTCTATTTTAGAACCAATTTCACTTTATTATCAATTGGGGTTAGTGATGAATTGTGAACGGCTTTTAATTTGTTAAAAATGAATGGTGTCTATCAAATAATATGATTTGGCTGAATGATGGCTGTTCGTACGACTGAATTAATGAGATATTATTGAGGTAGTGAACCTTCATCGATTGAGGTGGATAGAATACATATAACATGACCGTCTGCTGCTCACCTCGATGCACGACGTTTGCTGGTATAAGAGTAAACTAAAAGAAGGCTAGACCAAGACATGACATCTATCCATGAAGACATTAGAAACTGTACTGAACCATGTTGGTAAATACAGACTATCTTGTTGGGGTCCATGTGAAAATAATGATCGGTGTTTGTAGACTTTCGTTTACGGAACTTATGATCTTTTACGGTAGGGAAGATTCATTCACTCTTTGTCTTCTCTTAGCTCCTGACTTTTAAAATTAATTTATATATCATATTTCACAAATCTGTCTTCGAACTGTATTCCCTGTACCTAAGCTTATTTAATACACTAGTGTTACTACTTTGGTATTCATAGCGATATACTGTTTTGTGACAAATTGGACCAATGTACATATACTTCAAGTCCTATGTTGCTTACAACTAAGTGATTGTGCTATTAATTTTTCTTCTCAAACCAACTTAAGATCGTCATTTATATTGCAACTTATTTGATAACAAGACAATGATAATAATCGGATATGACTGAATTCGACATGAATGTTTTAGGATGTTGACTATTGTAGTAAAGTGTTCTCTCCTAAAGCTTCGTATTCGTGTTACTGCATAGTCCTGTCAATTCTTTTGGATAGTTTGCTCTCTAGTTGGGTCAATCAATGAAAAATATTTGACCGTTTTTTATTGTAAGTTTTGACTAGTTGAAAATCTGTCTGGACAGTTTGTTTAATCATGAACAACCTAATTGTTAACCTCTGTTTATTAAACGGAACATTCCTCTTACTCATGGGTTGTCTTTTTTTCCAAAACTGCATTTCTATTGTCATCGAAGTTGACGTTTAGTCCTCACCTTTTGTTTCTTATTTTGTTAACTTATTTTCTAACTGTACTTATGTGTGACGTAACAACCTGAGTCAACATGCATTTATATATTTTCTTAGGTTTATGAGAGAATGAGAGCATAGTTTCTGTATCCTTGTTTTCTGAAAAGCATCACTTTTTGTATCAATTCGTTCTGTCATAGCAATTAACTACACAGATTTCATCATTTTGCCCCGAGTTACTTTATTCTTCACTTTTGCTGTGGATGTTTTTTAATTGTCTTCGTAGGTGATGAATTTTTTTGTGTCATTCAATTATCTTAGGAGATTGCACTCATTATCAATTTTCTCAGGCTTAACAACAGGCGTTCTCTTAATTTAGGGTCCTCCTGGTACTGGCAAAACACTTTTGGCTAAGGCGACTGCTGGAGAAGCGAATGTTCCATTCCTTTCCGTTTCTGGGAGTGAATTTTTAGAGATGTTCGTTGGTGTAGGACCGAAAAGAGTACGCGATATGTTTGCCTCTGCACGAGACAAAGCTCCCTGTATATTGTTTATTGACGAAATTGACGCTATTGGTGGCAAGCGATCTGGTACTTCTTTTGGTCATCAGGAACGGGAAAATACTCTCAATCAACTACTTGTGGAAATGGACGGTATTTTTACTTTAAACTGACATTTAGATTTTCTCTGTAACGTTTTTTAATACAAAATTGCTTCTTTACAGCCAACATTTTTTATAAGTTTCCGGTAAAATAGTGAAAGCAAATTTGTCTCAAGGATTTATAGATCGTTTTGTGGTTGTATGATTACAAGCGTTTACCAGTATGGAGACAATCGTCACTTGTTTTCTGCTTATTTTGAATTCATTTTAGTAATATGCTGAATTAAACAAAGAACATAGATTTTATGCATTTATAATTTTCAAAGGTCTACATTAGTGTACTTCATACTGTCCGTATCAGTAAAAAAAAAAACTTAGCGAATAGTTTATTTTCCAGTGTAATTCAAAAAACAAGACATCTGAGTAATTTAGGTTAAACCATTGAGTGATTACTGTTTAAATTTCTTATTACTGTTAAAAATGGGTAAACTGAAGGTGATTATTCTTACAAAACGATTTACTAAATGGATTGCTTTGGAGATATTTTAATCAACTTTTTAATGAATGCATTTTCTAATGAGTTTTACGTTGGATTATAAGTTAGCTACTTGACTCATTTAGGATTTCTTTATAACTCGAGTAGGCAGTATTACTTTCAAAATGAAAGTTAATTTGATCTAAAGAACTGACAGAAAACCCAAGCACTTTGGATCAAATTTATACTAAAATAGTCTAACAGACGCCGTTAAAAAAGTCTTGTTGACAATAGTAACGAAATATATCAAACTTAATGAACAGGAAATCACCGAAGTATTTTCCAAACTAGTTTTTTGCACTTGAGATACAGTATACTGTTTTCAACTAAATTTTTACCTGGTTTTTTCCCCATATAATATTTGTTTAAGTGCCCGATTTCATCCCGAATGTAGATGATGGCCTGAAATCAATCTCCAGCTTATTTCTACAGAAAGCTTCGTTTTATCCTTTAATAATTTTTGTTTGGTCGCTTTTCCTTTCTAATGACAATTAACATTGGTATTCATGTTTAGTATTTATGGAGATGTGAATATACAACACAGTTTATTCATATAGATTGTGTTGATTGAACAAAAAGTAGTAGTCATTTTGACCTTTAAATCTGATCGTAATAATAGCAAAACCACACATTTCGCTTTGTACGTTAGTCATTGACTAAGCATGTGTACATTTGTTAAAATCTCCAGATATTGGGTCAAGTTTGTTTGAGACCTTGGCTTTTCATGCAAAAGCTTATTTCATTCTCTTTCAAAGCATATTTATGACCAAATGATACTTTTAAAATTTCTAAACCTCTTATTTACTTTAACTTTTGTCAATTTAATTCAAATGATGAATTGTAACACTTAGATGATATATGGATACATCCATATTGGTCATCAATGTAGTGTAATCTTCTCGCTGATTATCATTATAAGTATTTTAAAGAATCATAATGACAATTTCATTTCTGTTAGGGTTTACTACTCAAGAAAATGTTGTCGTTCTGGCTGCTACCAATCGTATTGATATTCTAGATCCAGCTCTGCTTAGGCCTGGACGTTTTGATCGTCAAATCTATGTATCATTGCCAGATATCAAAGGTCGTGCATCAATATTTAAGGTTTGTACATATTATCTTGCAGATTTTACTGTTTTTAATTTGGGCATGTTGAATTTATAAACATTTGTGTTTTGTTTGCATACTCAGTTAAAATATTAATGTTAATCATGGAAGTAAATTTAAATATAGACATATACCAAGTTAAACGTATATGTGTTCCTACCCCCATGATCTGTGTATGAATCCTAAGGGTTCTTGTGGATACCTCATGAGTACATGGTATCAATACATGTTCTACGTTAATTGAAGGATGACTCGTTAAAAAACTGCTCTTCTTATGTCGTCATAATTCAGTTGTATATTCTGTAGTTACGGTATCATCAAACTGATGAATATCGGACCAGTTTAAAATATTTAAGCCATCATTGACTATGTATGGCAATGGTAGATTCCTTGTACTCTATTTTTCTGCTCTGTTAATGCACCGATATTAAATTGTACAGGGATCTGATGGACTGCATTCACTTCGAATCTATTGTGTCATGTTTGAAGTCTGTCAAGTTTAGATACTCCACAGCAGCCTAGTTCATGGTTATCTTTGGGTCTCGATGAAGTATTCTTCACATTCATGTACACGTTAATAGATTTCATTGACTGTAAGCTACCTATATATTAATTATTTAAATTATTCATTTAAAAGATGTAATTCAGATCACTCACGTTTTCGCTTTAAAGTACAAACATGTGTTATTAGGTTCTACTGTTTGTTACCAATAGCACCCGTGATATTTCGTGTTCACTTAAAGTGATTGTTCGCCAGACAATTAACTGAATCCCTTCTTTCTCGTGGATCCTGTCTAGTATAAAGGTACAAGCTTTGTCTATTTTGGTAAGTCTCGAATATCGTATTCAAATGTCTCCTTAATTCTCGATCTCGAGGTTAAATAGGGCCTCTTGTTTGCAATAATTTGTTTGAAAATGACGTTAGCTTCCCGATCGTGTAAAAATCATTAACTACGTTGTCGGTAATTGGTGGGTATTTAGATTTCGGAGACACCACATCGACCCACGGGACACTGGGTTCCTAGTTAGTGACACCTGTTGTTCTGTTTGAAATGGAGTCCGAACATAAACAAACCACAATAAGTAGCCTAGGGTATGATTTAAGAAAACCTGAAATAGAATTTTGTGAACTTGAGGTGTTACCATCGTTTGTACATGTATAAGAACTCAAAGTAAGAAGAGGTGAGAATTGACAATAGAAACAGAACTAATATCTGGTAATAAAGATGAGATTTGATTGTAAGCAAGGTGATCTCGTGTACCGTTAGTGGTAAGAAGGTGACTATCACTTTCCGGTTACCCATATCTTGGATAGTTCTTTAGTTGCTTGAAAAGAAAGTTGTGTTAAAAGTGACCTTGACGACCGAAAAGAGTGATCACAATGCCTATAGGACAGTTTCTCGAGTCCAGCAACACACGAGCTTTTTGCGAGTTTCTGGTGTGTTGTGACTTCAAAAAGAAACGCCGTCTGATTCTGAAATCCATGTGGCAAGGTGATATGTGCTATTTTTAGGGTTGTCCCCTCTCGTTCAGTTCTGAGAAAGCAACATTACCGCAGATGCTGACTATCTATCTATCTATATATAGTAGTTCGTTAACCATTATATAGAGAAATTATAATCAGTTTATAACTGCGTGATGATTATTAACAAATTTTTGTTCCCCTGATTCGTCTTGTGTTCTATGTTATCTACCTTCATCAGTCTTCATAAAGATTTGTATTTTTGCTTTGATACTAGATACATTTGAAACCAATTAAATTAGCTGATGATATGCAACTTGTAGCTCGCAAAATGGCTACACGTACTCCGGGATTTTCTGGTGCGGATATTGCAAGTGTATGCAATGAGGCAGCGTTAATTGCTGCGCGAGAAGATGCTCATAGTGTCAATCTGATCCACTTTGATAAAGCTATCGACCGTGTAATTGCTGGGTTAGAAAAGAAAAGTCAAGTAATGTTGTTCACTTTTTCGTTCCGTTTTGATATGTTTATTTAGTTTCTTTGTTTTGAAATTGTCATTACTTAATTATTGTAGTTTGTCAGTATTTAATAGTGTATGCGTTACAGACAGTTAGGGGTACATAAGATGGAAACTACCAAATTTGAAGAAGGAAAACGGAATTCAAAAACCATATATGAGTACCAGTTTAACAACTCAGATGAAGTAATGCGCAGTTATGATAAAATTGTGTTACAGTGTTTTGCGACGAAAGTTTCTCAGAATTTAAGATACTTTCTCTTAGTTGAACTAAAAGATAGGGCAACTACGCAGAACAATCTAATGCCACAAATGATTCCATTGTGTTACATAGGAATGATCTGGGATTCGAGGATTCAACAAAGGCAAATTTATGTTTCTTCAAAAGAGGATATGGATTTCTTACTTATGTGTTGGTCGTTTGACATTTAACTAGGTTGGAACATATTCGTACACTGTTCCTCCTAAATTTATTTTGAGAACTCGATAGTGTTGTGGTGTATGTTGTTTATGCCGACAGACATCAGTAGTATGTAGCAGCAATCGGAAGTGCAATGCCTGGCAGCAGAAAATTGAATTGAAGAGAACTGAAAGGAAATCATTGAGTAATCGAAATGACAGAATCAGAGGAATAGTGGAGTAATTTAAGGACAACGCAAAGTGGATGTGCAAACGATGTATTTAATGTTTGATTTTAAGATTTTATTAAGCCACTGTGTGATTTTGCACCAAACAATAAATTGGTTTTCCCCACCTGAGTTCTCGTTCACTAGTTTGACTAGCTCATATAATAGTGGCTCAAAGTGAAGTACACGGACCTGTATGGAGTCACGTTAACTGATAAGCTTAAATGGTCGTTGTTTCATTTCTAGCAGTAAAGCTGAAGCAAATGATAATCCTTGTACTAATGTAAGTATTAGTTAGCAACATTTTTTTCCTTAGATACAGAAGCGTATTAGTTGTACTATGGGAAGTGAATACGACCTGTGGTCTGGAGTTTGCTTTCCTATAATCCCTATATGCTTGTGTGAGTGCTGATAAGATGTATTATACAAGTGAGATCTGCTATCCTGCTACTTGTAAGCGTCTTTCATGTTGTCGCAGTCACGCGGTTATGACTCTGAAGCATAATCTTTGTGAATGATAGAAATAAGGACTACTGTCCAAATGTTGGTGATTTTATTATGAATGAGGTCACTTGGCTAAGTTTTAAGGGTTGGTGGACAGGAAACTATAAAAATGATTGATTTGATCTTAAGATTTGTGCTGTTTCACAACTTGGTAATTTCTACGTTAACGTTTTCTATGTAAATTTTGCACAAATTATTACTCATCTCTGCTTGTTTATATTTGAATTCGAACCAAATTCAGTTAATAAGTATTACACTATCTGTTAAACGTTTTCTGCAAACTGAACCAATGAATTTTATTGTACTTGATCGTAAAATTACTTCCTAATCATATGAGCTAGAACTGTTGTTTTTATGTGATATGATTAATTGATTGCTGCTCATCACTAAATGTCCCTTAGATTAATTAGCTTTGTAACATCTTTTGTTTTCGAACAACGTCTCATAATTTACCTAATTCTCCTACTTCAACCATGTACAATGCTTTTCCATAATACATATTTATGGTTTTGATTTGAAACTGTAACAGGCTGTATATACAGGAAATAGTAGATTGTGTGAGCACTGCTGAAGCAGATCTTTATTCCGATTCATCTTCACTGTAAACTGATTTCTGTTGTGTCAATGAAAGTTGCTATTCTTTCTCTTATGGTCTAGCCTTATATCTCATGTATTCTACTACTTCATGTTAGAGCGGAGTAACTGTTTTGTATTTTTTTGTTTACTAGGTATTACAACCCGAAGAGAAAAAAATAGTTGCATACCATGAAGCTGGACATGCAGTTGTTGGTTGGTTTTTAGAACACTGTAATCCATTGTTGAAAGTTTCAATAATTCCTCGTGGTAAAGCTCTTGGCTATGCTCAGTATCAACCTAGGGATATATATTTGTTGACTAAAGATCAAATGTTGGATGAAATGTGTTTGGCATTAGGAGGTCGAGCAAGTGAAGAAGTATTTTTCGGTAAAGTTGGAAGTGGAGCAGTGGACGATTTACAGCGTGTAACTCGATCAGCTTATTCTCAAATTGTCCAATTAGGATTCAGTTCAAAAGTTGGGTTGCTAAGTTTCGATTTGCCTGAGCAAGGTGATATGGTTCTTACCAAGCCATATTCTGAGCATACTGCACAAATAATAGACGAAGAAGTTAGACAACTTGTTGAGTCAGCCTACGAAAGAACACTAACGATATTAAGAGAAAAAAGACAGCTTGTCGAAAAGGTAATTTCTTTTTGCTTTTATTTTTTGATATTTTTGAAGTGTTATGTTGAATTAACAAATGTTTAGTTGCTCTAAAGTTTATTAATTCTCTCATTATTCTGCTTATATTTTATCAGGTAGCTCTACGCTTACTAGACAAAGAGCAGTTGCAAAAAGAAGACCTGGTTGAAGTATTAGGTCCAAGACCGTTTGTGGAGAAAAACACATATGAAGAGCTCGTAGGTCCTGGTAAGCTATCTTAATTTTTTTTGTTTATTAAGAAAAATATTATTTTCCTATGACGACTAAGTTTTTGAAACAGCTTATAACATTTTTAAGTGGCTAGTTCAGTACTTAGAGTTGTGTAATTTGGTCGTACTTCCTGAATCCTAAAATTATCTGTTTTTAAACGGCAATTATATCTTTAAGTAACCTAAACAAAAGACTTATAAAGGACTCTCCCGAACTAATAATCCGTCGGAAACACATTTCTGGCTGGTGATGAAAACGACGGCAATTCCTATGTCTCAAAAGCCGTTTACGCGCTGGAGTTGCTCAATGGTGAACAATGAAACTAAAGGTAATTAAGAAATAGAAGCCAGTTTACTTTGAACTTCAGTTTAAATAATCACAAAAAATTAAATTGTAGTTTACTCATAAAACGAGTGACTCCAGCAACGGGTGAACTCTTTTCGGAATAGTTTAACTCACTGTTAGTCAATCTTCCGTCCACTTGTATCCACCAGTATCCAACAGCCTAGTAGGACATTGCATAAAAGCTCTAACTCATGGTGATATAAAGAAAGCAGTAATGAAATTTCAAGAAGTATAAATGTATTCTGGTTAATTAACTTTAGAGTTCTTTAGATAATGTTGCTCTGCACTATCAGTAAGATTAAGTGGGGTGATATAGCTCCGAAGCTAACAGTCTCTGTACTAATATTTCTTGCGTTAACAAGAGAACAGAAACCTTCTGTTATCCACAAAAATATTAGTTTTACTTGTATATCTGTTAGAGTATTAGCTTTTAATTTTTAATAGGCTCTGCGAAACATTAAGACAGACCTGTATGTATGGGTACTATTTTTGCTATTCATCAGTCCTGTCCCGTAATTGTAATATAGCATATGCCTCTACCTTATTGCAATGCGTATTATGTGCAGTTTAAAGCACTTGATTTAGCATATTCATATCTCTATTTGACAACCTCCTCCACCCAACATTATGCATCGAGTCAGTAAGTGTGATTACGACATCTTAGTGTTTACCTTCCTACAGGCATTAGAAAACTTCTGATTAAGGTCACTCTTTACTCCGTGTATGCTGCATTCGGTGAAATCGTAGGCATAAAAACTTCGAGTTTTCATTTTATCACTTATTCTGATACACATAAGATATCGACCTGGAAAAACATTGAAATTGTCTGCTATGCCTCCAAGCTTAGTGATGCTGTTACTTAGATACAAGAAGAGGAAGTCATATTGAACCTTCTTACTGAGTGAGATGAAGTAAATGAATGCACTTGAATCGTGTGCATAAATTTCGAAGGCTCATAATACATCGATGGTCCGCGGTTTTACATAGCGTTACAGAAATCCGCCCTCCACCATATATCGATTGTGGTTTCGGAAGACTTCAGATGGCATTTGGTAAACTTGGATCGTTATTAACCGTGGCGCATATGTGAGAATCCAAGGATTTTGGTAGGAAAATGGATCTCCGTCTTCACTATTCAGTAGTGAGACAATTATGTGAGGCTGATAATACACTGTCTTCGTAGGTTTTTAATGTAGTAGCTTCTCATGATAACACTAATTTGAATTAAGTTAGGGCTGGGTCTTCTCTACCTATGATGATATTACTGGTACTAAATGAAAATGGGAAGATTTAGAATTCCGTTAACACTTTAAGTATGACGTTACAATTATGAAGTGGTAGCTATTTTACTCCATGTTTGTATCCTTTTTCCCGTATGGACTTTGCTTTATAAGATAAGTATCTTCTTAAATGCTCTGAGATCTATTACTGTATACATAAGCCGCTCTATTTCGTCCTTAGCATAATGTTTTATTTTCTACTGTAAATGATTGTTGACTGAAAATAATTAGGTGTTGTTTTCATTCACAGATATATACTGATTCCAATACTGTTGGACAGAAGAAAAGTTTCTCGATATTCGTTTTATCACTAACTGAAAGTGTATTCACTTGGTTGACATCTCGCCGGCTGTAGATGTAAACATTACTTACTAACTAACATAAGAACATGTGTTTCCTTTCGTAATTCCCACGATCTCCAGTCGACCTGAAAGGCAAATTGATTTAAGCTATAAGAAATCTGGAGCAAAGGAGGGCAGTTGGCCCTGACAGGTTCACTTCTGAGGTTTTTAAGGATGGCGGCCCAGTATTAGCAGTGAGATTAACTGAGGTATTATGTAGAATTTGGCAAGTGGACGTAATCCCCTCTGACTGGTCTCAATCACTGATCGTGTCAGTCTATAAGAAAGGACACAGAGGAATCAGTTTGACTAATATAGTGTCGAAAATATTAGCTTCAATAGTACTTTGACGCCTAACCGAGGCTCGTAAAGAGCAGACTAGAAAAAACCAGGCTGGTTTCCGACCAGGACATTGCTATATAAACCAGATATTCACACTATGTCAGGTCCTAGAACATAGACACCCCAAAATCGTATTATTTCTCGACCTCAAGGTGGCACTTGACTCTGTAGATTGTCACGTCCTGCGGCAGTGTTTGTCACTGAAAGGAGTACCAAATAAGTACATTAACCTTATACAGGCTATCTGCTCCGTGTGAGAGCTTATAGCGAACTGTCGTCATAATTGATTACCTAGTATTCGGTTATAGGTGTCTTCGAAACATTGCTCGCTTATCTTGGGACCATCGAGTAAGTACCTCAGTTGTTAGGAAACGGGTACTAGGTAAGGATGGCAAATCGATTGATGAAGTAGTGAAGCTTCATCATTTGATATGACTCGGATACGTGTTACGTATGCTCAACAACCGACTGCCCCGACGTGTGATGTTTTCTAGTGTAGGAGTAGGTTGGAAGAAAGCTAGGGTCGGTCAGACCAAAACATGGCACAAGTCCATGAAGTCACTGACAGGTGGACTGATCCATGTTGGTAGATGTAGACTACCTGGTTGAGGACCGCGAGATGATTGCGACCGATGGTTAGAAACCCTGAATAACATGGTTCAAAATCGTTTGCAATGGCGCGGGTGCATACACTCTTTGTGTTCTCCCAAATTCTAATTTGATTCCTTGTCTCTTTTTCCTCTTTCCAAATTTATTTCACTGGATTATATTCATTGAATAACATCTTCAAATCTTAATGTTTCTGACTACTGTTTATACTTTAACTTCCTCTACCATTAAGGGATTTGAATTGACAGTTGTATCTGTGCTAATGTGCTATGGCCACTCGAACTGATGTACATACGTACGAAGTTCTACGTTGTTGAAGACTGACTTCTGATCATGATTGGTAATTTAAACAATTTATTGAGTTATCTATTTATGGATAGCAAAAAAGAATAATTATTATCTTTTATATATTTTGTGGTTTTTTGATGACCATTTATCATCTACTCAAGTGTAACATAAATAGGCAAGCTCTCTTATGTTTCTTTTTCCAGGCCCCTTGGATGAAGATGTGTCACTCCCTCCAGGACTCAAGGATTGGAATAAAGAACAAGAGTCGAAATCAGAGGCCTCGTAAAGTTGCATGTAGTTTAATTTGTATACTTATTCCTCTAACATAACCTTTACATCTGACGTTGAAGAGAAAATTTGCAGTATGCTTGTAAAATAAACTCTAAATTTCTTCTATTACCTGAAGTTATTCTTGTCTCCTGATATTTTTGTAGTGCCTCGTATTTACAATATTATGTCGATTTCAATGTAGTGCCTCGCTTCATAAGTTCACCTTATTTGGTAAAAGTTGCACGGTACTGTGTCTACTTGATGGATAATAGTATAACATCAAAACCAAGGACAATAATTCGTTTTGTAACAGTTGTCTAAATTTTCTCATCAAAGTTTTACGGTTGTAATTGATTATGCGTGGGTTGCCTCGATGTCGCCGTAAGTCACAAGCATTCTAAACAAAAGTGGACGGTGGTTGGAATTTAGGACACGTGTTTTGTCCTTAAATTAAACTTCGCAATTGCACAAACTAATGACCATCTGTACTTAGTCGCTAAGGTGGCGTTTAAATCGTACGGCACTTGGTTCGAGTGCCGAATTAAATAGTTGTCGACTTCAGGTAAAACTAAATGAGACGGAACAGGCGTTCTGGGTCCTACTACTGTCGAACATCGATTTATTTGCTTACTATCGTCTTGACATGAGATAGGAAGAAAACCTTGTCACTACTTCACTGTGTGCATACGAATTGAAAAAACCGGTTCCCGAGTACTAGTAATTGATTCTTTCTAACAGCATAGTGATATAATATGACTACACAGATCTGCAATACGTATCAAAACTTCCCAACGAGGAAAAAACCTGTGTATTAGGGAACTTTCAGGAATACGGCTTTCAGCTGCGCTGTTATGTTTACTTGAATAACGCACTCTGGATCCTTAAGTACGAAAACACTGAGCTGACCATGCCGGTGTAAAACGTCATCATTGGTGTTGTCTGCTCAAAACGAAAGGAGATGGTTAGAAATCAGTTCTGGAAGTAGAAGTTTTCCTTCTGAGTTCTAGGACATGGATCTTGCTCAATGAGGACCTCAGTTTCTGAAATATCATGAATGTTCGTTTCATCTAAGTATAGTTATTATTTTTGAGTCAATAGACGTTTCAATCATTCAGTTCTCTGTCGACTTGATAATAATAGGTGTGGTGATCCTGCTGATGGTGGTATTTACGGTGTTTATAAGGAATGTAGTCGTCCTTATATGATTTTAATCTAATTACACTGTTTTATTAAGTTCCTCGGATGTAATCTATTACTCAGCAGTGTTGTTCCTGGAATGCTTGTCTGCAATGTTACAACATAATTATGAATGTTATCTGCGCTTCCTTTAGAAGAAGCACATCGCGGAATCCAAAGACAGATAAAGTCTTCTAATGTGGAAAGTAGAATTGATTTAGGTTTATGTGTTGTGAAATGTATTATAAGTCATCTACAGAGAATTAGGGTATTTTATTGTTTTTTTTTGAGAAATAGATTGGTAAAAGTCTAAATTAGGCCGAGTGCTTGTAGTAGAATAATAATTTGTCATATTAATATCCAAAAACACTTTGAATTTATAGTAATACGAACGAATAATAACTAGATATACAGATAGAAGTTTGGGTTACGACTAACTGTGGAGTGAAAAAGTGCTTTGTGACTTGCGGATGAAACTTATGCAGTCCTTTGGATTTTAGTAACAAGATCTTGGTAGTATCCTTGATAATGTGCACTTGAATGCAGAGGAGACAACATAATTCAATGAAATCATCCTGCTTTGTGTCGAAACTATGGTTGACCACCGCTTTGCAGATTCCTACTTCGGAAACTCGACGTATGTAGAGTGACTGACAGTGTTTATCGAACATATACATCGATACGAGGACGACAAGGTCGATTTGCTATAGGGTAACCGGTGTATCAGCGGGAAAATATGCTTGGTCAATCTGAGGGTTTTAGAAGTAACGTTATGCGATCATGTTAAACAGATAGTTAAATATGGAATCTATTCGTGGTTTTCTAAATGGTCCCTGACCAACACATTGAATGATAACTCGAAACGCAATGTTAATGAATGTTTATGTAATTACACCAACTGTTACATAGAGTGTTAATAAATTCCATACCACATACAGGTTACCTCATGAGTAGCGCCCACTAAAATGGTATTAGTTTGGTAATACCAGATCTTTAGCGGATGGGATTACTTTGAAGTGTCCAGAGTTATAATTATTTAACGCATTTACAAAATTTATGTCTAACAGAATAAAACTAGCAGACACAAGTATGTTCATCAGGGTGACCGAATAGAAACCGAAGTTAACCAGCATATTTGGCTTTCATATGTCTGGTCTGGGCATGTAATTATGTGATTACATCATATTCCTACCATTCCCCAGCTTTTCTAAAGTCGGGATACTGCTCGGAACTAATCAACACTCACTTTATTCGCTTGGATATAAATGTCTGCTTTTGCTTGTCTATATCGATGGTGCATTTGGAAGCCAAGATATATTATAAACTGATTGATCAAAATGGAAACAGCTAACACCATTCACTTGTAAATCTTTAGTAATTCCCACTCTCCAAAATTTAGTGAAACCTTCAAAGTCAAATGACCTTCACCAAGGTTAAAGGGTAATATTGGGGTTTTGGTGCAATTTACCCAAACGCTTCTACAGCGGCTTCCTCAAAATTGGTTACATCTTCCCCCAAATTGGGGGATTGGGATAACTGAGAGCTCAGAATTATCTCTTACATTTATGAGCTTATAAATACATGGATGGTCATTTTAATCACCTAATCTTCCAAAAAACTTGAGAGTTTTTCGAAATTGAAATATATCAATCTTGTCTTAAAACACATCTCTGTACTTTAAGGTTTACTGTACTGACCAAACTGATGACTGAATTTCATTTAAAATGGTATAGTGTCAACCAAAGTCACTGAGTTATATTTTTCTTAATTAATTATTGAAGAATAAGTGCAGTATTTAAAAAAAATAACTAAGAAATGAATATTAAGCACGAGCAAAAAGGGAAAATTGAATATTTTCAAGGGCAATATTTAAACTTGCTCGTGATTAGTGCAATCTATTAAGTTCAAATGTCGGTTTCATTTTTCTCCTGTAATAATCCTGGTAATTACGGTCTCTCACTTAATAAAAATTTCGTTTGAAAACGTTAGTTGAAGATACATTGTGGAGAAGCAGGTCCAGACAACCATTCAAACCTTATTCACGTTGCTAATTAATATCTAATTACGTCATTCAAAAGCCGTATTTGATAGAGCTTGGTGTTTTAACAAGAAGTATATGAATGCTATTAAGGCTTGTTAATAAACCATCGAAGTTAGTAATTAATATGCATGACCAGTTATCAGTATTGATTGAGTTATGAGCACTATACAATACGATAATACAAGTGAGAGTTAATCAGATAACTAATAGAATATAAGTAAGTAATTGATCGAGAAAGTTTGTGAAAATGAGGATTAATAATAGGTGTGTTTTCTAAGTAGGGCGTACCAATGCAGAATTATGGTTTACTTCGTTATTAGTACTATTGTAATAATTGACCTAATCATGATGTGATCATCTAATCTATAATATATTACTTGGGAGTCATATTTTTGTCTGCACTGACTCGTTCTATCGTAGAAATCACCAATATGATGAGATCTACTTTCGGAGAACACATTTAGGTTGGAGATAGAACAATATATTTAATGTGAATAAAAGAGAAAAGTTATACATAATGACCACGCCTGCAATGCTGATTCATGCCATGCCATCCAATTCCATTCAGTTGATTCTTCCCGTCTTCTCCACTGTTGACCTTCCCTTCATATCAATTGTTGAATGTGCGATTTCCTAGCTATCCTATGTTCAGCTTTGGGGAATGTGTCGTTGTATTTCATGTCAATATCAGTATATTCTTCATTTCTTATGAGGTAATGCGGCTACTATAAGATGGAATTCCTAGTGAAATCCTCATTTTCTGAGCCAGCATAAAACTGTAGTAATATCGATTGCGTCCTTGCATTGCTTTTTCAACATGTTCTTAGTACCTTACCCAATATATTTTTTTGCAATGTTTTTATAACTCGGTTTCTGCTCTAATTTATCAATGGTCTGAAGCTAACAGAAACTGGAATATATCGAAATTGTGAGCTTCGAAATCAATTAAAATACTAAAAGTATAGCTCCGAGGAAAACGTCGCTGAAACATCACTCACTGAAGCATAGGCATTTCAATTTCGCATCCAAAGCATTCTTGGAACCCCGTTGAATTCCTAGACAAGCTCAGTCTCAAAACAAGACTTAGGGGCAATAAGCAGATATCAGAGGGACGACATAGTTGAATGAACTGTAGTCACACGTTTAACTGTCTCTAATTAGTCAAATTCCGGAATTCTCTACCAGATGAGATAGTGAAGCAGTTTCTCAGGAATCCTTCAATAAGAAGCTTATTCGTGAGTACTTAGAACAATATTTCATCGATTGATTAATATTCCTAGGTTTCTTGCTTGAAATATCAGTGATCCATCACTACTAGATACGAAGCCCGTTAAGCGAGTATTTTACACTCATTTGGTCCATTAAGCGTAGAGCGCGAGTTTTAAGTTTTGAATAGTTGGGTTGATTTAAAAGTTGTTAAACATGTGGTCCTCGAGCGGTAGGTATTGTTCTTTGTAGTTTTTGACCTTTCTAGATTATGGTGGTAGTACTGGAACTACAAGTGATTTTGGTGGAGGCTATATGGCGACTATGAGTGCTGGTACAGGACAAAAGGTTCACCTTTCTAATGACCAACTTTATGGGGTTAATTTTTTTAGAAGATTAGTTACCAGGGCACTATTGTTCCGTGTACGTGTGCCGAAATAATGGCCGCAAATCAAGATGGTGATAAGTTTGTTTCTCCATGTGGAATAGAATTTAGTCAAGTATGCTTAACAAGTTGATTGCAAACCTTTTTCAGATATCAGTTGTTGGGATTATTCGTTCGGTAAATGAGTCAAGCACACGCGTAGAGTATGAGGTCGACGACTATACAGGACCGTGTTTGCCAGTAAAACTTTTTACAGAGGATCAGGACAATACATCCTCCGGCCTACAGTCTCGTCCATTTCGCGAATTATCATATGTACGAGTACATGGTCATGTCCGAAACTTTCAGGGAGTCAAACATGTTATTGCTTTCCGAGTATGATAAGTTTCGTTTTGCGTTTTTTAATCAGGAGGGTTTTTCTGTGATTAGGAGGGATTCTTGGGTAGTGAAATCTCTGCTAATATAAATTTCCTCAGTGTATATTTTTACGACTGATGTGCTCTGAATGTATCTTATTCTATCAAAAGTTCTCTCTTCTTGAATGCTGTTCATTGTGCGCTCTAACAAATTATCGCCCAGCAAATGCCAATTTCTGGTAGAACCCAGGTAATTTTACATGTCAAATATAGGGGAACTACAAATATCAGTAACGCTGCTTTTTTGGCAAGTTTGCTTTGAGCGTATAACGTCTGGCCATCCAAGTATTCCAAATACATGACTAGCATTAAATGGACAACTGTCGTACAGTCTCGTAATCGATCGTTTGATACTGGAGTGTATGAAGCATCAAAAGGGTTTAAAGTTAATGTACTGCATTACCTGCATATTAACGATCCATCAAATGTCGTTCTTATGATTGCTTCAAGTGTCCTACCAAACTGGTCAAACAGTGTTTTATTGGTATCTAATTATGTATATTGAACCTGTTTTGGAATGTGACCAAATCTATGCTTATTCCTAGTATTATGTGGATTAAATCCGTTTATGAATCATAGTTTTGGATGATAGATTACCCTAACCTTGGATATTATGTAAATTTAACGAAGGTATTATACAGTTTCTTGTCCTAAATATTATATGTCATCAGTTATATTTTTGTTTACCTTGATGTATTTAGTGGATTTACTTCACTCATAAAGTACAAATCCTAAAGGTTGACTTTTAGGCATACTATCGATATCCTAATGCTGGATTAGAATTGTTCATATACCACTCGTGTATTTCAAATAACATAATTTATGGCTTTAAAATGTTTATGCAAGTAACGCAACTGTTAGACCTTAAAAGTTAGCTTTAAAACATCAATCTTAATGAGGGAAATATACATTCATTATCATACTAACACCAACCTTGGTGGGTCTGGTTTTATGTAAGTGCAGACTTTTTGAATATAGATGGTAAGTTTAAATTTGGATACAGCTTAGACTTAAATGTTCACTGCGCGTCCACACAGTCCAATGAAAAATGAGTTAACATCAGTTATATGGCCTATTTCATTTGTTTTTGGTTATAAGTTGTTGGATGTTTCTCATCTGCGTCATTTGAAATGATCACAAATCTATTAAAAAATTGTCTTTTCTTTTCACCAAATCTATCAAGGGGGTATCCTTTACGTCTTTAGGAAGGTCAACATCTAAGTCGCGTTGCTTACCTAAAACAATGTACGTAGGATGGGATTCAAACTTGCAATCTCCTGCATGAAAGCCAAGTACTTTAGCCAGTAAGCTGCCGCTACTTTCGTAGATTTTCGTTTCTACCATGTTGCGTAAAAATGATCAGAAGCAATATCTTTTTTTACAGGCTTAGCAACTCTTAAATATTAACAGCTTTATCAACATACACAAAGATTTTATTTACTTTAAGGTCATCCATTTGTCAGACATGAATGAACTTACTGCTCATATAATGGAAGTGATTTATACGAGAATGTTGTATGCGAAAATCAAACAAGATGAGAATAATGGCACTAACGTCAAAAGTGTTTTCAGTGAGGTTGGTTCGCATCATGCACTTGGATCTACTAGTAATGGACTCACTGTCTTGCAAAACCAGATACTCGCAATAGTTAGAACGTTTGTTGGTGAGCGTGGAATCCCTGTATCCCAGTTAACGGAAAAGCTGCGTGGGATACCTGAGAGGCAAATAAGGTTTGTGCTAGTTTTCTGTAGTAATAAGTCAGATTTTGACATTTGGTTTGCTTTTTATATTTAATTCACATGTTACCAGATAGAACAGGTCTTTGTTTTACCTATGGTGCATTTGTATACGATACTCTTAAGTATGCGTTGATAGTCGCTCCAAGCATATCAATACGTTATATGGCTGCACTTTAATCCTTTAAAATCAATAGGTTTCAATATGGAATAATGTAACCTTTCCCTGAATAATAATGTATGTACATTACAGGGTTCTTAGGCGATGTTGTACTGTTGAAACTGTACAGAGGTGTGACCGCAGTAAGGTGTTTCTTTCAGACAACCAGCATGACAGCGATGCTGCATTCCCACAAAGGAAACGTGGGGTTGCAAAAGGTCGATCTTTAAAATGCACGCCTCCCCTTATCCCACGGGTATCCGTCTCCTGTGTTAAAGTCCCAACACGTATGTAGCTAAGACAATAATTACGAAGAAGTGTGTGACTGACCTCAAGCAGTTGTCCCTTGGGCACTGCGGTCACGCTCTCATGTCACTAAGCCCACCTCTAATCCAATTTTCTTTTCAGGTACCTTTAGAAGGACCCTTCTACAGTGTGCGAAACCAGGAAGTGATAACCGCCATCATACCTTTAACAGAACTCAAGTTCACTGCATCCATGATCAACCTCCCTCTTCAATTCCTATTATTTCTCCTACCTCGAGTTTTAACTTTAAACTTCCTCATTTGGCTTCATCCTCAAGTGTCACCATAGCCAACGATTCTAGTGCGCAAAACACTGTCCCAGGTCTACTAAAACCTCGCTCCAAACTACACACTGGAGCCTTCAACGTACGCATCTTTGTCAAATCGGTCAGAAGGTCTCCTTGGCTAAAACCCTAGAATCTCGTACCATTGATGTATGATGTGTCTCTGGAACACGCATACAAGATCCTAGTGTGGTCATTCACTTGGCCTCACCTCGCCGAAACGGAGAGCTGACGATATACATCATCCGTGTATCTGGCCACCCGAAGGCTAGTTTTCGTGGACCGGCAGGTGTAGGCATAGCTTTAAGTACGAGGACAGAACAAGCACTATTAACTGAAATCTGCGACTTGGACGTTGTCACATCTGATTGTCCCAATATATGAAAAGGGGTCAAAATCATCCTGTGATAAACATAGAGGGATTAGTTTGACTAATATAGCATCTAAAATGCTAGCCTCAATACTTATCGGGCGGTTAACGAAGACTCGTGAACTGCAAACACGATAAAATCAGGCTGGCTTCAGAGCTGGTCGTGGCTGCATCGACCACATATTCACTATTAGAACACAGACATACTTATCGGCGTCCGACAACGATAGTTTTTCTTAACTTGAAAGCAGCATTTGACTCTGTTGACCGAGAAGTTCTGTGGCAGTATCCGTCATTGAAAGATGTATCTCAGAAGTACATAAACCTTGTGAAGGCTCCTTACTCGAACACTACTAATCGAGTGAGAGCTTATAGCGAACTGTCATCTGATTTTGCAACCTCAAATGGTGTTCATCAAGGCTTTCCACTATTTCCATTTTTGTTCAATTTCATCATAGACCTACTGCTGGTAATAACGCTTTCGTCATTTGAATTTTTGGGAATCGATCTCCTTCCAGGAGGTCCACTTATTGACTTAGAATACGCAAATGACATAGTCCTGTTTGGTGAAGACGCTGATAAAATGCAGTCTTTTGGTAGTACGGAACAATACCGGTATGATTGGGATGCGTTTCTACCCCTCTAAATGCGAGTTGTTGCTTCAGGACTGGCCTGCATCATCACCTGAACTAAGGATAGGGAGTGAAGTAGTCGAATACCTTGACAACTTCACTTATCATGGGGGTCTGATCAACCTTAACGCGTTGGTGTCTGATAACATCTCTGCACGGATTCAGAAAGCTCGTTTGGCTCTTGCCAACTTACGTCACCTATGGCGAAGGCGAGATTCTCGTCTATCAATTAAGAGACGAATATACTGCACGGCAGTTCGTTCTGTCTTACTTTACGGCTGCGAAACATGGCCATTAAAAGTATAAGATATTCGTAAGCTACTAGTATTTGACCACAGATATCTTAGAAATATTGCTCTCATCTGCTGGGATTACCGGGTAAATAATAGTGCTGTAAGACATAGGGTATTAGGGAATGATGGTAAATTGGTTGATGAGGTTGTGAACCTTCATCCACTGAGATAGTTGGGCCAAGTGTTGCGTATGCCTAAACACCGATTACCACGACGCGTAATGCTGACTAGTGTTAGGGATGGTTGGAAGAAAGTTAGGGGCAGCCAAACCATGTTGGTAAGTGCAGACTACTTGGTTGGGGTCTGTGTGACTATCATGACCAATCCTTGGAGACTCTTGGTGACATGGCTCAGAATCGGTCACAATGGCGTCGGTGTACACACTCTTTGTCTTCCCTTAAACTATGAGATTAAAATCGCTTCACATCTTCCTTTCTACGAACAAATTTTTTCTTCCTGTACTATGTCTTTATATGCGATCTTTGTTTTATAAATCACCACCACTGAATTAACTACTTCTATAGATCCGGTGTACATCTTGTTGTGCTGAGGTATGGCAACTTGGACCGATGCACATATATGTTTGGTCTTACGCTGTAGCTGACTGACTGAATGAGTCACTAGACAATGCATTAAAATAGTGTTGGTCCATTGATAATTGTCAAAAATAATCATTGAATCAGCAAATTGCATATTGGAGGAAATAGTGATTCATTTAATTATGATAAGTGGGAAGAACATATAAAGAGCAACAATGTCGTTACGATTACACGACAGAAGAAACGAGTTTAAATGGTGAGTATGCTAACCACTGGTTGATGGCCACTCGATTCAAAGGGTTTTTGTACTGTAGGTTTGTCATCCATTTACTGTTTATCCGTTCCAATACTTATATTTAACTTATTAATATTATTTGATCATAGATGCTCTCGAAGTATTGGTGGCGTATGTTGGGACAGTAGAGCGAGCAATACTCGAGTTAGACGTAGCATACTAGACAACTACAAGCGGAGATTAAGATAATTCCTTGAGTCAATCAAGCTGATAAGACCATAGATTTAACAAATTAAGGCAGTTGGCAGCAGATCTGGATGGTTCAACCGTTTATATGTTCATAGTTAGTGGTCTAGTTAGGCTGACTATGATGCTAGCTAAATTCTGAAAACAGCGTAATCCCATACGATTGATCTTGATAGCCAATCGTCCTATATTTTTTTCCGCAATATCTGTTAGTGAAAAACGCACCAAAAGAGTACATAAACCCTGTAAATACTCTACCCCAACGTAACCAGTCAGATCAGAAATTATGTTGAAATGTCATCGCATTTGATGACATCAAGTAGTGTTCGTCAGGGTTCTTAACCTTCTCCACTTCTATTTTACTTTATCATAGACATTCTTTGAAGGATAACACTAGTATCGTCTAGATTTTCAATAATTGTTTTATCCGGAGATTCACTCGTTGACTTGGATCAGGCAAACGACGTGGGTCTCTTTACTAGAAACGTCCGTAAAATATGGACTTCTGATAACATTGAGCATCAATGCAAACATTTTAAGGTTGCATTTGTGTTGCCCCAAATTCAAAGAGTTGCTGCAGGATTACTAGTCTGTATCAACGCTCGGATTAACCATAAGAAGTGAAGTAACTGATTGTGTCGACCACTTCACTGATCGCGAAAATTTCATAATCCCAGTTGTCTGATATGATCTTGACGCAGATCCAAATGGTTGGTTTGACTTTTACCGACTTGTGGTATAGGGCAGATATCGATATGTCAAACCAAAGATAACTTTTGTAAGAAGCAGGCCGCTTTAGCCTACTTTAAGATTAAAATGTTACCCTTGAAAATAGAGGGTAGGTTACTGACATTTGATCGTAGATGCTCTCGAAACATTGGTCGCGTATGTTGGGTCAATAGAGCGAGCAATACTCGAGTTAGACGTAGCGTACTAGATAGAAATGACAAACTGGTTGATGAGGTAGTGGATCTTCACCAATCGATGTGATTGGGACATGTATTACGTATGCCCAACCACCTTCTACCTCGACGCGCGTTGTTTCCTGGTGTAGGGGTAATTTGAAGGAAAGCTAGGGGTAACCAATCCAAGATGTGGTACAAGTTTATGAAGTCATTCACTGTTGGGCTGAGTCTTTTTGGTAGGTGGGTAGTTTGCGGTTAGCACAATCACCGTAACCAATGGTTGGAGGTGTCGAGTGACATGGCTCCAAATTGGTTACAATGGTGCAGACACTTACGTCAGGTTTAGTATTGAGTTTGGCAAACTGTTACGGGAAGTGACGATTAAATGGTTAGTCATTATATCTATCTAAACAAATAATCAACAAAAGACTGAATCCATCTATCTTATTGACTTAATAGAGAATTCCACTTTTATCTAAGCCGTCTATCTCATAGTACACAACACACCGACCAGTCATCTCCAAGCAACTCTATCCTCTGCTCACCTTTCTGGTTGTTACCAAGTGGTACTTAAGGTCATAGTGCCTGCTTCCGATCCCCGGGACTATGTGTTCTTTTGTCACCCTCTTTCATTTCAGCCTTCAGTATTTTGGGTTAGAATTATTTGCAAGTTTTTATTATTTGTTTCTCTCCAGGGAGGACTTGGATTTCCTTAGTGCCGAAGGTCATGTATATTCGACTGTGGATGATGATCACTTCCGAGCTACTGAATCATGATTAAATCGAAAATGTTTGTGTCACCTTATTTTACACTAAAATCTTTTGATTGTATATAATTTTTGGTCTTATTGCCTATTGCCTCAAAAGCAAGATACACTGTTCTTAATGAAAACAATAACATTTAAGTTTGAGTATCAGCCGTATAAATTAAAATAATGTTATTTTAATTCAGTCTTGTTGATGTTTTAGTGCGTCCCTTCCCAAGTATATAGAGCAATATAAACTGCCATGGAATAAGTTTAGTTACACTTGTTTGGTTCTTTATCAATTAGATTTCAGTGAAAGGTTATTTCTTCCTAACTTAAGCGTGGCAGTTGACTATTGATGAAGACAAACGTCGCATGAACCAACATGCGTGGATAAATATTTTATGAATCGTTTCAGAACCGACCGTAGCTGCTATCATGATGTGATAGTCAGACTTACCTATCGTGATGACCCAATCGAAATATATTTGGTGAAAACACATTTCTTTCAAGTTCTACAATGCCAGGGTGGTCAGTTGAAGAAGCAGCAACATGATGTCCAAGGGCAAAGTCGTACGGCTGACTATGTATGTGTGTGGTGGCAGTAAGGTGTTTCCCTCATAGAACTGGCATCTCGAAAGATGTTGTCTTCTCATAACGGAAGCAAATGACTGGAAAAGACTGACCTTAGCAATGTCAAACCTCACCTTATTCCAAGGATTTCCATCACTGGCTTCAAGGACTTCTGAAGTTCGTAGGTAACATAAAAACCTTCCCACGGAAATTCTGTATGTTGTCTGCCACAAGCAGTGTCCACTTTGACTTGGGCAGATGGGAAGTTACAATTGTTTTCATATATCTAACGTCTTCCACGATTATCTTGTTCACAATCATGTCCCTCCTTTACGTTTTTATTCTTATATCCATACTACTAACTGTACTCATATCATTATCACCGCGCACTAAACTTCATATTGGAGCGTGTAATGTAGGAGAACTGGCTTCATTAGCTAGGACTTGAGTCCAAGTACGGTTAGTCGTTTGACTTCACCTTGCCAATATAAAAGCCGGTACGATCTTATATAAGCTTAACGGGCCATCCTAGACTGGATTCTAATAGTCATTTAATAGCTGTCTGAATAAAACTAAGCAGTAATGATTCGAACTGACGTTGTGTTGTCTCTGCCTATGCGGTCCGAATGAAGTGAACGATTAACTTTATAGGGAGCTTCTTAACTTGTTTCAAGAAGCTAAATTGTTAAATGCACTAACAGTGACTTTCGAGTTTAATGATCTAATAAGCGGAACCAGATCGAACGACACGGCATCATGGTTCAGTGAACATATGATGTTAACTTCTACAACCACCAGATAATCGTCTTTTTCTAGCAGGTACCAACTCTAAGTATTGTCTGACATAGTGGACCTCACGACACTCAATGTGGAGTCAAGAATTTTGGCACTATCCGTCGTCAAAGAACCTCAGTAGAACACTGCTTCTCACTTTGGAGCACGTGTTTAGACTACGATCATGTTCTTATGTGAGCACGTATTTGCTTCCGATTTAGTAAAGTAGAGAAATCGTAGCAAGATGTTAAAGTAGGTCTTTCAACTCTTAGTCAGGCTACATGTAATTTAAAGATCAGAAAATCCTAATGGCATAACTAATGATAATTTTAAGGATACTTTACTAATTTAAACTAAGTGATGATTGAGGTAGAATCTGTAAAGCGATCGTAGTTTTGTGCGACTGGTCACGGTCATGCTTGTCTATTATAGAGTACAAAAGTTATTATAACAACCACAGAAGAGTCTCTTTCAGTAATATGGTGTCTGAAATATTAAACTCGGTGATACTTTGATGTCTAACTAGAGATTGTGAAGAACCTGAGGAAACCAAGCCGCTTTCAGATATGGAGGTGGATATACAGACCAAATATTTACCTCTCGAGAAGTTATGGGAAATGGACACTTCGACGTCCGATAAAAAACACGATTCTTGACCTTGAACCGATGTCCGGTTCTTTGTCATGAAGTTCTGTGGGAGTCTGTCATTGAAAGGCACACTAAAGTACATTAACCTTGCATATACTATCAATTCGGGCACTACTGTTCGAACCAGAGCTTATGGCGAACTGTCATCAGAATTGGTTGTCTACGAAAAGCGAATGTCCGGCGCTTTAACTGGATCACAAACCAATGGTGCACATGGGCTCCAGTATCCTGAGTGAACAAATGGCGTATGAACCAATCGTTGGTCACCGGCTACCATGCGATTGCATCTCCTTACGATGCTCCAAGGCCTTGTGGGTTAGACCTTTAGGTCAAAGGCTCGGGGATTGGCCCCCTAAGATAACCACCTGATTAGGTTTGGGCACCCGGGCAGTATCACAGACCACACACATATCGAATGAGATTTGTGTGTCTATGGAAATTAATTTTCTCGCTTCGAAAAACAATCAAGTGATTCAAATTATTATCATTACTATTATCGTCAATATTATTATAACTATTGTTGTCATTCACTTGATATTGTTTTATTTGAATCTTCCCATTGATGTTTTAGGACTGAAGTTGATCAGTATCTTATTGGCATATGTGCATACTGTGCGTATGCCTCGATATTGCCTTAATTTACAAGCATTATAAGCAGAGATGGATAGTGGCTAGCTGTGGAATCCAGGACGCGCGTTTCGTCCTGTTTGTTGTCATTATTATTATTTTCCACATTACTCACCCTCTTTTATACTTATACAGCGGCTCGTCTTTGGTGGAAATTCAACTGTATCTAAACGTTCTCGAGTCACTATCCGGTTGAAAATTGTATGTTGCCACCGAATATGAGTACTGAAGCAGTTTTTCTGAAACCACGGGCACCATTCAAATTGGCTGCCTTCAACATTCGCACACCTATGCAGGTTGGACAACAGATAGGGCTGGCTATGTCTTTAGAAATTCTTAATATCGATGTTTGCTGTCTATCCGAGACCCGTATTCAAGACTCTGGTGAAGTACTACAAATTCGCTCTACATCTGTCACTTCAAAAAGCTTGTTTTACGTGCGTTTATCCGAGGACCCTGCGGCATCTTCGTCTGGTCTTGCTGGCATTGGTGTCGCACTAAGCGCTAGAGCTGAGGCAGCACTAATCGCTTGGATCCCCATTAACAGTCGGTTATGTGCTGTTAGATTAGAGAGTTCCATCAAAGTGAGAAGAAATCGGCGTGAGAAACGATGTCTTTTCGTCATCTCCGCCTGTGCTCCGACATATTGCAGCCGGGATGCAATCAACGATGAGTTTTACCACCAGTTATCTGTTCTTCTCCAGAATGTGCATTCGACAGATATTGTAGTACTAGCCGGAGACTTGAATGCTCAGGTCGGGCGTCTAGGCACAGAAGAGAGTCATTTAGGTGGCCGATGGGGACTTGTTGGTCGCAGGACGGATAACGTGGACCGTCTGCTGCAACTGTGCACAGACCACAACCTGTTTCTGGCTCGAACTAACTTTCAGCACAGTCATCGCCAATGTGCCACCTGGCGTCCTCCCACTGCATCTCAAGCCTGGACTCCGATTGATCACATCGCGATCAGCTACCGCTGGCGTGGTTGTGTGCAAGACTGCCGCTCCTTTTGGAGCACCTATCTAGACTGTGACCATGCCTTGGTCTGCGCCAATCTTACCTTACTTTTCAGTGGCCAACGAAGTGACCGCCACCAAAGGATTGATATTAGCAAGCTGGTTGCAACCTCTGTTGCAAGAAGGTATCTTCTGGTTCCTTACAACTCATAGAAGCTCGTCGATCTACTCCGGGTGACCACGAATTTGAAGATAAACGAAGGATGTTACGTAAGGAAATTGGGTAAAGCTTGAGTAAGGACCGAGAAGGCTGGTGGTCGAGGCGTGCTAATGAGCTGGAAGCAGCAGCTGCATCTGGTAACTACCGGAAGCTCTTCAAACTCATCCGAGCCACTGGCAGCAAGAAGTCTGGTAAGAGCGATACAATCTACGGGGATGGCGGGATGCCAATCACTAACATCCATCGCCGTCTTGGACGATGGGCAGAATTTTGCGAAGGGCAGTTCAACTGGCGTGCTGCTCCGGCAACATCGGTCAGACTGTCCTGCCCTACATGGCCGGTAACGACTGATCCGCTAAACGAGGAGGAAGTCCGCAAGGAACTCCTACTCTTGAAGCGCTACAAATCAACTGGACCAGATGACTTACCTCTCGATCTTGAGTATGCGGATGATATTGTCTTACTGTGCGATAATGCCCAAGGTATGCAATCCGCACTTAATCAGTTGGCAATCAGTGTCCGTAGGTATGGTATGTGCTTTGCACCTTCGAAGTGCAAAGTACTTCTACAAGACTGGCAGGATTCTAATCCTGTACTCACCGTGGGTGGTGTGCAGATGTTCGGCATCGTGTGTTCGGGCATAGAAATGATAATGCAATCGATGTCACCAACTTGAAACACCGACTTCGGTGGCTTCGACATGTTCTTCGAATGTCGTCCCAGAGAATTCCACGTCGTGCATTATTTGCCGACTCTGGGACTGGTTGGAAGAAGCGGAGAGGTGGTCAGTGCATGACATGGTGTCGTGGTATGAAAGAAAGCTGCAAAGGACTGGCTTCTGTCGGTCCTTCACGACTCCCTGGTTGGGGTCCGAGAGATGGTGCTACACAGTGGCTAGAGACGTTGTCAGATATGGCTCAGAATAGAAGCCAGTGGCGATCCTGCTGTAACCTTCTTTTACTTTCCTCGCAAAAAGTGGTTGTGTCTCCCTTAACTGAAAGATTTTTTCTGATTTCACCTTTCCATTCACTCATTACTACCACACTACCTTACACCAATCACTTCTCTATTGTTCTCTTTTTTTTTGCGCTCCTTAGTTTTGTTTTTGCTATTTCTCTTCGACTTCTCATTGTTTTGTGTGGCGCATATATATTGGCGCTCTTGTACCAATATTCATGTGTTCAAATAAATAAATAAACATCAGGATTGGTTATTCAAGCGGTGCTCGGTAGGGTTGTCTGCTTTCTCCATTTTTATTTGACTTTGTCATAGACATGTCTTTAAAGATAACACTTTCATCGTCTGACTTTTCAGGGTTTGATCTTCCAGGAAGTTCACTTGTTGACTTAGAATACTCAGATGACATAGATCTGTTTGGTGAATACGTTGATAAAAAGCGGTCT